CTAGTAGCGATGCCCTTTGCTCCTGGTAGCGTCCTTGCTCCTAGTAGTATGGCCAGGAGCCCCTAGTAGCGTCCTTGCTCCTAGTAGCGATGCCCTAGTAAATGATTGCTGCTTCCCTTGGAAAAAAAAGCGTAGCCCGTCACTGCAGTTGAAATATGCGCCGACAAAATCCGACAAATGCCAGATTTCCACAGATGCGCGCACGACGATGAAACAAGCAGACAAGCAGTACTAACATTTTATATTTACGTAACTGTTAATGAATTCATGTGGGCTGACACCAGATTGCTTAAAAACCAGGTGTGTAGCATGTTCCTTTGTGTTCAGGGATATGCCAAAATGTAGATGCGCCTTTTTAATGTAATGTGAGCATTTGAATGCCTTTTCCATCCTTTTCCAGTTGCTTCCTACCAATAGCCTCACGCACCAGGGGAGGGCAACAAGACGCGTTGGCAAAGATGGCTGATCACCTTCAAGCGGTTCACTGGCAAGCTGCCTAGTCCTGGTCGCAAGTGAAGAGACGAGAGAAGAGAGACTGGATACGAGAGGAGTTGTTTGGCCTCATTGACGTTGGATTGTTTGTTTCGGGGAGAAAGGATGCGTAAGTCACTTTGATTGAACAGTTCCTGGTGAATTGTCGTGCCCAATTCGTGCGAATCATGTCGTTCGGCGATGTTCAGCGGCACGATTTGCCCAGAGAGGTTGGCAGCTGCGGGGCTTAGGTGTCACACTGAACATTGCTGTGATTTTTGGCTCCTGGGTTTGGGTCTGAGATGTTTTGCTAGACAATTGAAGGCTGAGACGCAACAGGTGGTCAGGCAACTGCCACAGTCGTTTTCTTTGCAGCTTGGATGTTTTCAAAAAGCGCTTAGCTGAAGGAGAGAACATGCAAACCACTGTGTGTTCCGTTGTGCACGACTTCAACTGTCGAGTGACCTCAAGAATGGAGAATAAATTACATGTCCTCATATATCCCTGATTAGGCCCCAATTGGTGTCCTCCATTCTGAATTCTTGTTTGTGTCAGGTGGCCATTGCCTACTCTCTTGTGGAGAAACCCACGATCCAGGTCTTTTTGGAGTCAATCACTGATCAGGCGCGGTCACAGAATTGTGAGACGATCAACCTGCCAGGATCCTTCAGTAAAACCTAAAACCTCTAGATATAAGTTGAGAAGTTAGCAATTGGTTAAAGAATATACTGATATATATATAATTATATAATTATGTAATATAGTACTGTATATATGTATAAGTAAGTAGTTGCAGAGGGTAGAAGGATTTGCTTGTTTTGACAAACCAAAACTCGCTTGCGTTCGATTTTGCATGGTTCTGCAATTAGGCCTGCCCTCAACCTAGCAACAACACATTCCTAATTTGGAGGCTGCATGATGCTGCGACCAGTCTTGGCACGGTCATGTCATTTCACCATCATCACTGACTGGCTATTGCATTATTTCTATGAACAATTACACGAATCAAAGCCACTTTGAAGGGCAGGTGGATCTTCTTGGCATGCATGCTGCTCAGGAGCCATTGCGAAGCATCCTGGCCACAATCGGCGCCTTCGCGCCCTTTGGCCTTGGATTGGCCATGTGACACGCCTGTAAAAGGCTTTCATGAAAGATCATGCTTCAAGAAAGGTGTTTTCCAGGTGTTTGTTTTGTTTCCCGATGTTATTCCTCGACCAAAGCTCGGCTGGCGAGGCCAAACCTGGTCATCGCTGCCGTGGGCCTGGCGCCAAGGGGAGGATGCCCTTGACCTGAGATTGTGTGGGGATGCAGACTGGCACGTTTGTCACTACCAAGGCCAAGTCTTGCCAACCATCACCAAGACACTCACAGAGTTCGAGGTCGCCAAGACATGCAGCATGTTGTAGACCTTTCTTATCCGTTCGTAGATAGGGGCCATGACCGGAAAAGGAAAATAAGGTGTAAAAAAACAATTAAGAGCATCCCCGTGATTTGCAGGGGATGCTTTTGGTTTTTCGCTGCAAGCCCGAAGGCATGGGATCCCGCCTCACGCGCACGGCACAACTTGTGGCGCCTCTTCGTGGGGAAGGTGCCAATGGCATGAAGGGATGGATGAAATGGGTGACACGGTGAGGCCAGAAACTCACGGAAGGGTTGGTGTTTGCTGATGCACTTTGATGGGTTGGGTTGGGGTACCTAGGTTGCCTGGTTCCTATGGTTCTTCTTTCCACCATTGGTTGCATTAGCAGAGATGATGTGAGCTGCTCGCAGCTAGAGATGTTATCTATCACTTTAAGCAGGATTGACCGAAACCCAGGTACGTCAGTTCCCCCGAATCATGAGGTGTTCCCTCGTGGCGTGGTGACCGATAGGAAAGAGAAGCCAGCTCTGGTCTTTATAACTTTATACAAAAGAAGCCTTGATGGAAGAAGATGGTAATACCGCAGGCCCTTGCCTGGGTCATTTGTAGCATTTCCTCACTTGATATTGCCTTTGGCACCTAGTATGACCTTTCCTATCCTTTCCTCGAGTTGTACTTCCAATGGACCCTTCAAACGACTCCTGTTCAAGTTGTGATTGGTGCGTGGCCATCCACAAGCAATAAATTAGGGCTGACAGGCGTTGCAGTGCTGTGAGTATAAGTTGAGGCCAAAGAGCAAAGGTCGTCACTCCTTTGCCAGGTGCTCAATGCCACTGTGTTCATTGCCTTGAACGTAGTCCCAGCTCAGTTTGGTCAGTGTTTGGAGCACCAGTGTATTTTTAGTTCCAATCTGTGTCTCAAAACATGAACAGGGGCTCCGGCTGAGTATTTTAGTCCAGCGTTGGATGGGTCGCTCGAAAGTATTGGGTGAACAATTGATGCGATCCAGATGTTGATCACTTTTTGGGCTTGGGGGGGACTTCAGTGATGCAATTGGTTCAGCATTTATGCATCCGGACATTAATATTACATACCAACTGTGCCCGTATTGGAATTTCTGTCGCGTAAAAAATTTGGAAGATATTGGAAGCAGCTCTCTGAAGAGCCAATTGGTCACATTGGATGTCACACGACTTCTTTTCCAAGGTTTCATCATGCTTGAGCTAACAGACACATAAATGTTATTATATATATAAATATGTTGTTAGGAAGTGTGCTTGTGGACACAGCTTGATGCATGTGTAGTTCTCTAGAACTAGGACTTAAGACCTGCTTTGACCTATGTATTTTGCCTTTCTGTTTATTTTCCAGGACTATTTCATATTCTACCAGGACTATTTCATATTCTACCAAGACTATTTCATATTTGTCCAGAACCATCAGATTTTTTTTCCAGAACTATTTCATTTTTCTGAATGGCCATGGGTGGACTCAGTTTTGTGAGCGCGCTGAGTTTGTCGTGCATGTTGCTGTTGTTGTTGTTGTTGCGAGTTGGCAAGTTTGCGGACATTGGAGAACTTCCGGTCAATCTCAAGAACTGGCTTCTGGTGGATGATGGTGGATGTGTTTTATGTGGACAGTTACTGTTAGAATTGTTTGTTCCGGGGACTGTGGTTGCAAGCACTTGGTTGGTGGTCCTTGGCCAGGATCGTTGGCCTGTGGTGTTTTCCGCGTTGGAAGAGCCCGTAGAGCTTTGAAAGGTGCTTTAGGAATCCTTGTTTGGACATTTGTGTTGCAGTCACTTTCCATGGATGTGGTAGCTACTTTGTTTGCTGTGTCAAAGCGACTCATGCAGAAGGGCCGTAAATTCAATTCCGACTCTTGAACCCAAGAGCAGCTCAAACGGCAGCTTCTGGACTGTGTGTTTAGCAACGCTTCTCCGATGATCTACGATGTACTTTTTTGGTGGAGTGTGATTTGGGTGTGGAAGTTTTGGGGGAACGGCTTGCTGTTTTGCTTGTGGAAGGCTTCTTCCTGTGAGGTTCTCGATGGTTATGTCAAGCAGTTCGGA